TTTTTGTATGCAGCATAGGGAGTGTGGGGGGGTGGGGGGGTGCTGGATAACAAAGTATGCCAGTTATCTGAGAGGCCCGAACAGGTGTCCTTGCCTGTTTGGGCCGCCACCTCTCCCACCATGTCTGGGGTGCCACCCCTCCTGCGGGCCCCTAGGGACAGGGAGGAGGGCCCTGTGCAGGCTGCTATGCCCTTGGGGGCTCAGTGAAACTGGAAGTGCCACACAAGCCAGTGTGCCGGTTAATAGAGCATTCTGGCTTGTAAGGTGCCAGATAATGCAGCTTTTACTGTATTTATTTTGAGTGTTTTAAAGCATCAACCAAAAAAAGTTGCTAGCATGGCTGTCTAAAACCTACCTATCCCCAGAAAACTCATCAAGTGCTTGAAACACTTCAGCCTCTTGTATAGGCAAGTAATCTAACAAGAATTAGACGAAGCCTTTTGGGTCAAAAGTTCAGCCCCTATATCAAGCAGGGAATGCCATAGTTCAAAGCATTAATTGGTTTAGGCATTAATACCTGCCTAAACCAAGCAACTCTCTCATCATACCAGCAAGTGAAGTCCACTTCGTCTCCCCCCAAATGGATGAAGTATTCAGGAAATGTGCTACTAATTTCTTTGAAGAATGCAGTCATAAATTTGTAAGTTGTATTCAAAATGGGGTTTACAGGTCCAAAAGAACCACTTGGTTGCTCTCTATTGTAACATGGTGTAAGGAGGTCTTTTTGACCTGATAAAAAAAATGATAGGAAATGCAACATTATGTAATCTTTAGTATAGAAAAGTGTTTCAAACTTCTAAAGTCCCAAGACTAATTATGTATTATTGCAGTTTGAAATTAGAAAACGGGAGTGTGGGGATAAAATGGTTTGTCCAAGACGACAGAAGGAATCCAAGATTAGAACTTGTGACTTTCCATCTGTCATGCCTGTGCCCAAACCACACATTATTTACAGAACCTGTTACCAACTGGACGCATCCCTGGATGGGAAATTCCACAGTAAGTCTAAAAAAGAAACAAAGTCACCGCAAAATTTTCCAAGATGATCTCACTAAAGATTTCAGACAGCAGCTTCCAGGCAAACTTTTCTGAGGGCTCTCTGTGTCCTGCCCCTGCCCTGGCCCCTATATTAAAATGCTTCTCATAGCATTGAGTAGGATAGAGTTTATACTCCAAAAGTATTGAGACAAAATGTAGACCAAGCAACAAGGGGAAGACACAAAAGGTATGATAGAAGAAATTGCGCAGAAATATTGCCTCCTGCCTTATCAAGATGCATAGGGTTCAAATTGCATTAACAAAGTTAATGAGACCAGAACAAGAATTTTAAAATGTTAGTGCTACAGGGAATGGTTGCTCCTTCATTTCTCTCTCTCTTTTTTTTTTTTTCTGTGTTCTCTGCTATCTGAGTAACTTTACTACAGTATAGATGTTCCCTGCACCGTGCCCTCTGGCTGAATGCAGTCAGCAAATAAAAGCCACACCTCCTGGCCAAAGGTCTGAACTACGGAAATAGCACAGAGCCACCTGGTGGTGAAGGAAAGTAATTACAAGTTTGAGTCGCTCAGTGTTTGCACACCACAAATCCATAGATAGGGCAATGGAAGTGGTGGCAATGCAAACTAAAACATGTCTGAGCACCTTTAGTTTAACACATTAAAAAGACTTTTGAAGCGGTGGGAAATCCCGCCTGTGCCAACACAAACACAGTTGCGGTGGCATAAACAGGAAATCTCGTGGCATGTACAAACAGCCACAGGCTCCTAAAGACTGGGTTCTTTAGCCACCTTACCCACCACCTAGCTGCAAGGCTCCATTTTCCTTACAGCAATTAATGCAAAACAACATGAAAAGATCATTAAAGGAGCCAAGGGGAAAAATTTGCTTCCTTCTATCCATTTCATATCTTTACCATTTTTATGGCTGTGGAATTTCTCTACCAAGTTTCTTTTCATTGCCTGTAATCCAGTGTTTGGTCACTTGACACTAAGTCTAGACTTCTGTCACTCTTGTAAAACAGCAGTGTTGATTGCAACTGAGAAGCAGTGTCCAAGCAAGTTAGCTAGCCAACTACATCTCTGAAAGAGTCCCCCAGAATGCTGGGCCAAGCAAAACACCAACAGAAATGGTCTCTCTTGAAGTTAAGAGATTCAGCTCTGTAGTCCACCTGGTAGATTTTCCTGACTACCAGTTGTTATAGCTACATAAAAAACAAGAGACCATTCTATGTTAGGGACTTAAAAGTAGCTGCTTAGAAGTATAGCGTACCTTGAGCAAGATCACTAGTTTTTATGGTAACATTACACTGTGTCACCTTGTAAGAGGCAGATGTAACTTACCTTTCCCCCAAGATTGGGTATGTCCTGGAGTATCAAGTTCTGGGATAACCCTAATGCCTCTTAGCCGAGCATACTCAATCACCAGACGGATGTCAGAGGGGGTATAGACATGGTTATAGGAATAGGATCCCTGTGAAATGAAGTGGTTAGATATAAAAGACAGTTTTTTTTAAATAAAAGGTATGTCAGGAACTTATAAGACTCCAGTTCCATTTTTTTGCAATTACTTTAATTAAAACAGAAACAATTAGGTAAACAGGCCAAAAAACTGCACCAAAAGCATTAAGTGCAAGTCAGAGATGGTTATGGTCAGAGGGCAGACCTTCCCAGAGATGCTTTTTTGCCGCAGCATGACATCTGTTTTTAAGAAGAAGTGTCTGTGACAATGAAATTAAGTCAGTTACTTTTCTCAGTTGAAAACAAACCTGACAGTACAAGCAAACTGCTGTAAGTCATGGATCTGTCATATACCTTCAGCAGACAGCTTTACTGTACAAACATTTCCCCCCTACACTCATCCTTTTGCAACAGCAGTTCTGGTGCTGAAATATCATAGGCCCTCATTGGCCATGTAGGAAAACAGACTGATAGGAAATGTCAGTGAATTGAGGAATTGGTTGGTAGTTACCATGCTTCTAGTTGTCAAGTTCAGTCTATTGCCTCATTTGATATCAGTGTCCATTTTGTGATGCTAATTTGAATACCAGGCCCCCACCTTCCCTCCATAGTCCCCAGCAGAAGTGAAAGAGACATGAGGGTTTTTTTTTTTCAACATTACACTGAACTGCTGCTTTCAAGAGGAAGCAACATGCCCCTCATGACAAATATTGTCTCAAGCTTCAGTTTAACTTCTAACAGCTTCCGCATTGAGTCACAAGCTTTAAAAAAAAAAAAAAATCACATGTCACTGAGGCAAGATGCTCTCCTTCCCTTTACTTAGTGTTGCCAAGAATCTTGGGAGACCTGCTGCTATTAGGTAGGAGACCTAATAGCAGGAATCTTGGGAGACTTGGGGCTAATCACCATACTGGAATTCCAGTAACAGAATAATTTAAGTGTTTAAATTAACAATACTACTGTACTAAAGTATATAGAGCAGAACCTCACTAACAACAGGCAAACTGCTGCAAATTAGGAAGTGAGTAAACACCATGCACAGTTTAACCAGTGTTGTCTTGTACTCTAGACAGTTCAGAGTGTACTGCTTTCTGTGACGCTGAAATATAGGCATGAAATTTCACATCTGACTTTATCTGGTTTTGGAACATTGCAACAGAAGCCACTGGAATATTCCAGTCATACACATATAGCAAGTTTATAATTGTGAAGACAGTAGGTGAAAGCTGTAGGGTAGTCTGTGGACCCTTACGTAGTAAGCAAAACCTATGAAGTGGCAGATGCTTGTTGACTATAAATTGCACTGGATACTACCAATGTCATTTTTCCAAGGCCAGACAACAAGGTAGATAAGTATTTTATTTTGGAGAACTGTCCATGGAACTTAAGGGCTTCACTATTTGGTTTACTCACCTTGTTACTCAAATCTGGGAAAGTGATGCTCTGGTAAGGGAATGAATGGTCATCTACTATATGCCAGTGGAAAACATTGAACTTATTAAAAGCCATAGCATCCTGCAATACACAATGCAAGGTAACATTTTGGTTAACTGCTTCATGCTTTTTGCAGAGCTGAAGGGGGCCACTGGTCCCTTTCAAGTCAGTCTGGTTACAGCTGTGCCATCCTGTAATGCCCAACAGGACCAACAAACAATGAAGGAAAAAAGTTCTTTGCTACCCCCAAGTCATCCTGGACCCTGGAAATATAAATCCAAAAGGTTATAGCCATTTCTCCTCTTTCCAACTATCTAGTGCTTCAGCCTTTTAGCACACAGTCTGCCTGATCCTGCTTGGCTGGGTAGTGAGAATGCAACTGTCTGATTAAAACACATTTATATTTCACACTAAATCTGGCTAACTCTCCATCCACAGTGCTGCAGTTAGACAGTCTTAAACTACCACCAGTTTCCACTTACCAAGTTTTTAGTTGTTTGAAATTCAATTTTTGGCTACTGAAACCCATATGTGCAAAATATGCTAACTGTTTCCTTTTCATTTCCCCTTATTTACAATCTATCTGGCAGACACTTTTATTCTGTTAAAACACAATCAAAATTGCCTTTGTTAATACTGTGAAGTCCTGGCATCAAAAATGGATAGAATGTATGAGGTTTCCTGCTTTTGGTTAACAAGAAGCATTTCTTTTGTCAAACTGATTCTCAAGTTAAGTGAGGACTACAGTTCT